GACCGGAGGAGGCGCAGTAGTCAGTGTGTACAAACTCGACCCTGGCCGACGGGTGAACGTGGCCAGGTGGCGGCCCGTCCGAGAGCAAGTGCAGTGGGTCACCCGCTGACCTCCAGGGGTGAACTGGTCAACCCACGCGTCCTGGAGGTCAGCTCCACTCACCAGGTTCGTAGAGAACGAGGGGAGGTGGAGTCCCGACAGCAAGCCCGACGGGGCCGCAGGACACGGTAGGACAGTGGAGGAGTGTGCAAGTACTGGGCCCCCTGAGGGGTCAGCAAAGGAGACCGCAACAGGCCGACTGAGCGGCGTGAGCGTGGTGCTGTCTCTAAAGAAAGAGCGCGAAGCACCAGAGTCAAGTGTGAAAGTGTGAAAGGACTCAGTAGGTGCAGTACCAGAGAGAGGAGACGTACCAGCACCTGGAGCAGCAGACGCACTAGCACCTAGAGCAGCAGCCGCACTAGCACCTAGAGCAGCAGCCACAGTGCCCGGGTCGAGCGGGACACGCAGGTAACAGTCACCCTCAGTAATATCAGCAAGAGCATACATGGCAGCAAGGATAGCATCAAAGTCTAGATCAAAGATAGGCACATTCTGCAGAAGCAGATCATGCCAACGAGGAAGCTCAACAGCGTCAGGAAACTGGGTACGCCAAGCGTCAGTCAAGCGGCCGAAGCAGCGCTGCGTGGTGTGTGGGAGACCACACACCTCCCCACTACGAGTGCCTATGCGAAGAACGTACGTGCAGGGACCTGCACCCCCAGACCTCCCACGCCCAGCGTACCACTCACGAAGTTGCTGAACAGACGGGGTCTCACGGGTGCGCAGCTGCTGCTGACGCTGGCTGCCACCAAGGCCTCCACGCTGCGTGGCTGCACCGCGACCAGCACCACCTCCTCCGCTACCTCCACCACCGCTGCCGCCGCCGCCACCTCCTCCGCCACCGCCGCCACGGCCTCCACTGCCGCCACCGACGCCCCCACTCCCGGAACCACCCCCAGCACCACCTCCACCTCCTCCACCTCCCCCACCGCTGCCTCCACCGCCCCCTCCACCACCCCTGCTTCCCTTGCCCTTGCCAGTGCGGCGTCGCCCACTAGGGGCAGACGCAGCGCCGACCTCCTCAGTGCCAACGAGGTCGACAGCAGCAGCAGAGGCAACAGAGGGGAGAAGGGGGACAGGGGAACACCCCTCAAAGAAGGGGGTGCGACGGTCACCGCGAGAAGCACCGACAGCTAAGATACTCTTCTCAGCTGCAGCAAGGCGCTCCTCTAGCAAGTCGACAGTCAGCTCGGTGGGGCAAAGGGAGAGAAAGTGATCCCTGACTGAGGAGAGAGAGTCAGGGAGGCGGGTGACTAGGTAGTAAAGGGTGATGTACATGGGGGGGGAGTTCGTGGGAAGGAACTCAGTGGGAAGGGCAGCGCGGTAGCGAGCGTCACTAGTGCGGAGGTGAGCAACTAGGTCAGCAACTGTGGCAAAGGCGGCAAGGTCAGGAAAAAGGTACGGCAGCATGAGACGGCTGAGGGCAGCGGTGGTAGGGGAGGAGTAGCGTGCAACTACAGCGTCGTACAGAGCCCTAGCACTCTTGTACTGACTAAAGTGCGCGCGCTCAGTAGACGGCAGGTGATTACGCACAGCAAGGCGAGCAGCAGCATCGCGCGTGAGCCACTGCGAGCGAACAGTACTATCAGCATCAGCAGCAGGGGCAGTAGAGGCGCCAGACGTGAGATCGAACAGCTAGAGGCCATCCTTGCTATCGCACTGTAGGAAAAGCTGCAGATCATCTAGCCAGACCTCAAAGTCAGCAGCTCGACCCTCAGCATCAAAGGTAAGAACATTGAGACTAGCCATGACAGGAGCAGCAGCAGGCTAGCAGGGCGGCGCGGCTCGGCAGGGCGGCGCGGCTCGGCAGCGCGGCGCTCTTACCAGGGGCGAGGCTGGGGCAGGGCAGGGGTAGGGCCGGGGCCGGGCCGCAAAAGATCCGGGGCCGGGTTGGGGCAGGGCCGCGACAGTGCAGGAGCAGGGCAGGGGCAGGGCCGGGGCAGGGCCGGGGCAGAGCCGGGGCAGGGCCGGGGCAGGGTCGAAGCAGGGCCGGGGCAGGGCCGAGACAGGGCCCGGGCGAGGGTTGGGGCAGGGCCGGAACAGGGCCGCGACAGTGCAGGAGCAGGGCAGGGGCAGGGCCGAGGCAGGGCCGGGGCAGAGCCGGGGCAGGGCCGGGGCAGGGTCGGAGCAGGGCCGGGGCAGGGCCGAGACAGGGCCGGGGCGAGGGCCGGGGCAGGGCTGCAACAGGGCCGCAGCAGGGCCGCGACAGGTTGGGGTAGGGCCGGGGCAGGGCCGGAACAGGGCCGCGACAGGGCCGAAGTAGGGTCGGGGCTGGGTCGCAGTAGGGCCGGGACAGGGCCGCGACAGGTTGGGGTAGGGCCGGGGCAGGGCCGGAACAGGGCCTTACGGGGCCTGACGGGGCCTGACGGGGCCGCTAACGGGGCCTGACGGGGCCTGGCGGGGCCGTAGACGGGGCCTTACGGGGCCGTAAACGGGGCCTGACGTGGCCTTACGGGGCCTTACGGGGCCGTAAACGGGGCCTTACGGGGCCTTACGGGGCCGTAAACGGGGCTTGACGGGGCCTTACGGGGTCGTAAACGGGGCCTGACGTGGCCTTACGGGGCCTTACGGGGCCGTAAACGGGGCCTTACGGGGCCTTACGGGGCCGTAAACGGGGCTTTACGGGGCCTTACGGGGCTGCGCGGCGCCTGGCTAGGCCGCGACGCGGCTGCTTTGGGGGCCGGCGCTGGCTCTAAGGGCGGGCGCAGGGGCCGCTACGGGCCTCGAAGGGCAGGCGCGACGCGCGCTTCGGGCAGGTAAGAAAAAATTCAGTGGTGGGCCCTTAAAAAAAAACTCGAAACTAGCTCTATACCATGTGAGATAATTGACGAAAGAATGAATGAACTAGGAAAATGAGATGGGTACAAGTAGAAAACACAAAAGTGTTGTACCCTCTAAGAACTACCCCACTACAGCCTAAATAGACTATAGCAGATATAAGTTTGACAGGTCCAGCTCTCGAGTGGCTCGGAATCAACAAGTAGGATTTTCCAGGGCAAAGCCACGTGGCAGCAGTTTCGTGCAGACCTGCTCAAACGTTTTGAGCCGATTAATTGTACTTATATTGCGCGCGAAAAAATACATTACCATCGGCAATACGGGAGTGTCGCGCAATACACCCAGCAGATGGAAGAATTTTATAATCGCATTCCCGACATTACCGAGGGTGAAAAGATTCAGTCCTACATCGCGGGGCTGAAAAACGATAATCGTCGCCAGGTTGCAGTTGCGAATTGCAGCAGCTACAGCGAGATCGTATCGGCCGCGGAGTTTTTTTACTTGGTCAACTCCGGAACACGACGACCCCAAGTCGTCGGATCACGACAAGGAGATCGCAATGCGTCGACCACGTTGGCCGACTCCATGGAAGTCGACAAATTTGACGAGAAGTCATGCTCTGCAAAAAACGAAACGATTTGCGATTTTTGCAGCACCAACGGACATCGAATCGTCGACAGTTTTCACATGAAATCTGCACGTGCGGCATTCCGAGCGGCATTCCGAGCTCAAGGGAGTGGCGAAACTAAAGAAAAAAAGGTAAAAAAACGCATCTCGCCAGTACACCCTCATTCGCGCCACACTGACATTCGTTGTATGCACCCAACGCTTTGTGTGACTGCAGCGTGCCCGGAATGGTGCTAGCACCTTGTGTACATGCACAATCACGACTGCCAACTTGGTTCACAGAGCTATCGAACTGTTAGCACCTAGGATCTGACTCATAACAGTCAATCTAAACTATAAACATAGTTTGACAGCTAGGTATGAAGGAAATTGCCATGGCTGAGACTAGAACGAGTGTTCAAGAAAGAAATGCAATGACGAAACACAAGAATGGGCCCATCTTGGCAACACTACCTCCCTTCTGAAGGCGGGGGTTTGAGAGACGTCATTAACTCGTTGCCCATGTTACCCATAGATCCCATTGCCAACACGCCAAGTATCTATCATTGTGAACGGATAATTCTTCACCCAAGGGCAGATTCCATCCACAGCAGGCTGCTGGCATGTTATGGCGGTCAAGGACTCGTAGTGCCATGCCATCGTTGCTTGGAAGTTCTGTCGTTTGGGCACGGATCAGTGATCCGTGGCCCTTTTCATACCAACAGAATCTGAAGATTCCTGGACGCGGCATGGCGGAATCTATGGTCCATTTGTGAAATATAATGTTTTGTAACGAGTAAGATATTAAGGTTGTGTGGTATTTGGTGGTCTATGTGGATATGGCCTCCAATATTGTTCACCAATGTTGTTTTCACAAGATTTTCTTGAAAATGCATATGTTTTTTTTTACCGCATGTTTCCTTCCCATTTTCTATTGAAGAGGTTTGAGCACAATCTAAGAGTGTATCATAATTGTCACGAAAACGAGGGCTTCAATATAGAGATTCTTGTTCACAAACGTATCACTAAACAAATTGCGAGGTTGTCGTTACCGAATATATTTGCTTTCCCTTTGCCCTGCCAAAAGCAAGTATTGCTGCTCGCTCAAGTGAAGACCACACCAAGCCGCCCCGCCTAACTCTGCATCCATTAGGACCGACGCAACGGCTCAACGATCGTGTCCATATAGCTGCTTTCGCGGAGTAGGCAGCCTCTCCTCATCAGCAGCGGCCCTCGGAGCGCCGCCATGGCTGACGTGGCGGTGCATCAGTTCAACAACATCCTCCTCGGCGGCCGCGGCGCTCTGGCAAGTCCTTCTCCGCCCGCTCGTTGCGCTGATTCTTTCCGTTCCAGCCCAACGCTCGCCTTCCTCGTATCCCTCCCTCAGCTGCTCCTCGCTTCTCGCCCTTTTGCGAGATTTTTGTGCCTCTGCGAATTCCTCGTGAGTTCGCGAAGTACTCATGCCTTCGCGAAGATTTTGTGCCTTCGCGAATCTCTCGTGCCTCCGCGAATTCCGCATGCCTTCGCGAATCCCTCGTCCTGCGCAGACCCCGGGGCAGCTGCGCGTGCACACGGGCGGGCTGGCGTGGCGGAAGCTGGGCGGGGGGAAGCAGGTGGACGTGCAGCGCACGGACATGGCGGGCGTGGTGTGGATGCGCGTGCCGCGCGGGTACCAGCTGTGCGTGCGGCTCAAGGCGGGCGGCAAGGTGAAGTTCAACGGCTTCACCAAGGCGGACGTGGACTCGCTCTCGCCCTTCCTCGCCTCCACGCTTGGGTTCGCGCCGCGCAAGAGCGAACTCGCCACCAGCGGCCGCAACTGGGGCGACGCCGAGATCGAAGGTACCCACCACCACCGCACCGCACTGCATCGAAGTGCACCGCAGGGCGCGGTGCTGTGCGGGAAAGGGGTTGGGGGAAAGGTGGTGGAGGGTGGGAGAGCAGGGGGAAGGTGGGAGTGGCGTGGGTGTACGGGTGGGCGAGAGTGGTGCGGTTAGGCGATGCAAGATAGTCTTGAGAGGCGCTTGGTTCCGCTTTCACATGGCTCTTCCCGCTGCCTCGCCCTCTGCTGCTCTCGTTCCACCCTGTGCTGCTGCCATGTCAACTTGTTGCTTGTGCCCTCGAGCCATGTGCCATGCGCCATGCGCCATGTGCCATGCGCCATGTGCCATGCGCCATGCGCCATGTGCCATGCGCCATGTGCCATGCGCCATGCGCCATGTGCCATGCGCCATGCGCCATGTGCCATGCGCCATGTGCCATGTGCCATGCGCCATGTGCCATGCGCCATGCGCCATGTGCCATGCGCCATGTGCCATGCGCCATGCGCCATGTGCCATGCGCCATGTGCCATGCGCCATGTGCCATGCGCCATGCGCCATGTGCCATGCGCCATGCGCCATGTGCCATGCGCCATGCGCCATGTGCCATGCGCCATGTGCCATGCGCCATGTGCCATGTGCCATGCGCCATGTGCCATGTGCCATGCGCCATGTGCCATGCGCCATGCGCCATGCGCCATGTGCCATGCGCCATGCGCCATGCGCCATGTGCCATGTGCCATGCGCCATGCGCCATGCGCCATGCGCCATGTGCCATGCGCCATGTGCCATGCGCCATGCGCCATGCGCCATGCGCCATGTGCCATGTGCCATGCGCCATGCGCCATGTGCCATGCGCCATGTGCCATGCGCCATGCGCCATGCGCCATGTGCCATGCGCCATGCGCCATGTGCCATGCGCCATGTGCCATGCGCCATGCGCCATGCGCCATGCGCCATGCGCCATGCGCCATGCGCCATGCGCCATGCGCCATGCGCCATGCGCCATGCGCCATGCGCCATGCGCCATGCGCCATGCGCCATGCGCCATGCGCCATGGGCCATGCGCCATGGGCCATGCGCCATGGGCCATGCGCCATGCGCCATGCGCCATGCGCCATGCGCCATGCGCCATGCGCCATGCGCCATGCGCCATGCGCCATGCGCCATGCGCCATGCGCCATGGGCCATGCGCCATGGGCCATGCGCCATGCGCCATGCGCCATGCGCCATGCGCCATGCGCCATGCGCCATGCGCCATGCCCCATGCGCCATGCGCCATGCGCCATGCGCCATGCGCCATGGGCCATGCGCCATGGGCCATGCGCCATGCGCCATGCGCCATGCGCCATGCGCCATGCGCCATGCGCCATGCGCCATGGGCCATGCGCCATGCGCCATGCGCCATGCGCCATACGACTCAAAAGTCAACTGTTGAACCATACGACTCAAAAGTCAACTGTTGAACCATACGACTCAAAAGTCAACTGTTGAACCATACGACTCAAAAGTCAACTGTTGAACCATACGACTCAAAAGTCAACTGTTGAACCATACGACTCAAAAGTCAACTGTTGAACCATACGACTCAAAAGTCAACTGTTGAACCATACGACTCAAAAGTCAACTGTTGAACCATACGACTCAAAAGTCAACTGTTGAACCATACGACTCAAAAGTCAACTGTTGAACCATACGACTCAAAAGTCAACTGTTGAACCATACGACTCAAAAGTCAACAGTTGAACCATACCCGCCACGACATACGATGCTCAATGCTCACTGCTGCTCTCATGAGGGCTTTCTGTCACCACCATGCCGTGCCGCTTTTAACCTCCAACGCCTCTCTCTGTGTCTCTGTGTCGCCGTGTGTGTGCGATACGCCGTGCAGGCCAACCAGCCGCACACCTACGTGGTTGTCACACTCGACACGCCCATCCGCAAGGGCCAGACGCTCTACCCTCACATCGTGCTGCAGGTGCGCCCCGCCCACCCCTTCCAACCACATTCCACAACACTGCTCCCAACGTTCTCTGCCACCCTGCAGTACAAGATCGATGCCTCGTGTGGGCCTCCCTACTCCATGCTGCCTCCCTACTCCATGCTGCCTCCCTACTCCATGCTGCCTCCCTACTCCATGCTGCCTCCCTACTCCATGCTGCCTCCCTACTCCATGTTGCCTCCCTACTCCATGCTGCCTCCCTACTCCATGCTGCCTCCCTACTCCATGCTGCCTCCCTACTCCATGCTGCCTCCCTACTCCATGCTGCCTCCCTACTCCATGCTGCCTCCCTACTCCATGCATTGTGCTCCACCCATGCTGTTCCCTCTGCTTCTGCCTGCCTGCCTGTGGGTGTGCGTCCACCCCCTGTGGGTGTGCGTCCACCCCCTGTGTGGGTGTGCGTCCACCCCCTGTGTGGGTGTGCACATGCCGACAGTTCCCCAACGAGGAGACGTTTGAGGGCGGGCTGTCACTGAGCGACGAGTTGCTCACCACCAAGTACAAGGACCGCCTGCAGCCCGTGTACAAGGTCAGATGAGCATGACAAGGTTGCTTTTTGCCTGCGCATGGTCTGCCAACGGTCTGAGCCAATGCTTCCAGAGCTATTTACACCACCCACAGCGTGCCCCACCATGCCCCACCATTCCCCACCATTCCCCACCATGCCCCACCATTCCCCACCATTCCCCACCATGCCCCACCTTCCCCACCATGCCCCACCATTCCCCACCATGCCCCACCATTCCCCACCATTCCCCACCATGCCCCACCATTCCCCACCATGCCCCACCATTCCCCACCATGCCCCACCATGCCCCACCATTCCCCACCATGCCCCACCATTCCCCACCATTCCCCACCATTCCCCACCATGCCCCACCATTCCCCACCATTCCCCACCATGCCCCACCATTCCCCACCATTCCCCACCATTCCCCACCCTTCCCCACCATGCCCCACCATTCCCCACCATGCCCCACCATGCCCCACCCTTCCCCACCATGCCCCACCATTCCCCACCATGCCCCACCATGCCCCACCATTCCCCACCATGCCCCACCATTCCCCACCATTCCCCACCATTCCCCACCATGCCCCACCATGCCCCACCATTCCCTACCATGCCCCACCATTCCCCACCATTCCCCACCATTCCCCACCATGCCCCACCATTCCCCACCATGCCCCACCATGCCCCACCATTCCCCACCATGCCCCACCATGCCCCACCATTCCCCACCATTCCCCACCATGCCCCACCATGCCCCACCATTCCCCACCATGCCCCACCATGCCCCACCATTCCCCACCATGCCCCACCATTCCCCACCATGCCCCACCATTCCCCACCATTCCCCACCATTCCCCACCATGCCCCACCATGCCCCACCATGCCCCACCATGCCCCACCATTCCCCACCATGCCCCACCATTCCCCACCATGCCCCACCATTCCCCACCATGCCCCACCATTCCCCACCATGCCCCACCATGCCCCACCATTCCCCACCATGCCCCACCATTCCCCACCATGCCCCACCATTCCCCACCATGCCCCACCATTCCCCACCATGCCCCACCATTCCCCACCATTCCCCACCATGCCCCACCATGCCCCACCATGCCCCACCATGCCCCACCATTCCCCACCATGCCCCACCATTCCCCACCATGCCCCACCATTCCCCACCATGCCCCACCATGCCCCACCATTCCCCACCATGCCCCACCATTCCCCACCATTCCCCACCATTCCCCACCATTCCCCACCATGCCCCACCATTCCCCACCATGCCCCACCATTCCCCACCATTCCCCACCATGCCCCACCATTCCCCACCATGCCCCACCATTCCCCACCATTCCCCACCATTCCCCACCATGCCCCACCATTCCCCACCATGCCCCACCATTCCCCACCATGCCCCACCATGCCCCACCATTCCCCACCATGCCCCACCATTCCCCACCATGCCCCACCATTCCCCACCATGCCCCACCATTCCCCACCATGCCCCACCATTCCCCACCATGCCCCACCATGCCCCACCATTCCCCACCATTCCCCACCATGCCCCACCATGCCCCACCATTCCCCACCATTCCCCACCATTCCCCACCATTCCCCACCATGCCCCACCATATCCCCCCTTGTCCCCACTGGGCCCCGCTTTCCCCCACCGTGCGCCCACTCGTGCGCCCCACGTGCCGCCCCCCCACATACACACAGGGCCTGATGCACGAGGTGTTTGCGCAGATCCTGAGGGGGCTGTCGGGCGCCAAGGTGACGAGGCCGGGGTCGTTCCGCAGCAACAGTGACGGGTACGCGGTGAGCACGTCGCTCAAGGCGGAGGAGGGCTACCTCTACCCGCTCGAAAAGAGCTTCTTCTTCCTCCCCAAGCCGCCCACGCTCGTGCTGCATGACGAGGTGCGCACATGGGAGGGGAGGGTGAGGGGGAAGGGGGACGGGGGACGTGCTCTCATGCGTGAGAAGGAGGGAGAACGTTGGAAGGGAAGGGTTGTGGGGAGAGGAGGAGGGGAGAAGGGGAGGAGGGGAGGTGGCTTTGTTTCTCATGGTGGTAATCAACCACCGAGGTATTGCCCTCTCGTACGCTGCATGTTGCCACCATTCCGTCTCTCCGGAATGGTGGCAACATGCAGCGTACGATGCCTCTCCGTCTCTCCGGTGCTCGCCTCACCCTGTCTCACCACGCGGCCCTCTCACCACGCGGCCCTCTCACCACGCGGCCCTCTCACCACGCGGCCCTCTCACCACGCGGCCCTCTCACCACGCGGCCCTCTCACCACGCGGCCCTCTCACCACGCGGCCCTCTCACCACGCGGCCCTCTCACCACGCGGCCCTCTCACCACGCGGCCCCTCTCACCACGCGGCCCTCTCACCACGCGGCCCTCTCACCACGCGGCCCTCTCACCACGCGGGCCCTCTCACCACGCGGCCCTCTCACCACGCGGCCCTCTCACCACGCGGCCCTCTCACCACGCGGCCCTCTCACCACGCGGCCCTCTCACCACGCGGCCCTCTCACCACGCGGCCCTCTCACCACGCGGCCCTCTCACCACGCGGCCCTCTCACCACGCGGCCCTCTCACCACGCGGCCCTCTCACCACGCGGCCCTCTCACCACGCGGCCCTCTCACCACGCGGCCCTCTCACCACGCGGCCCTCTCACCACGCGGCCCTCTCACCACGCGGCCCTCTCACCACGCGGCCCTCTCACCACGCGGCCCTCTCACCACGCGGCCGTGTGCCTCGCCATGACGTGCCCGTGAACGCCCCCCCGCCAGGTGGAGTACGTGGAGTTTGAGCGGCACGGCGCGGGCACGAGCACCATCTCCTCCTCCTACTTCGATCTCGTCATCCGCCTGCGCAGCGAGCAGGAGCACCAGTTCCGCAACATCCGGCGCAACGAATACCACAACCTCTTCTCCTTCTTCAGGTCCCTGCCCACCCATCTCATACCTCAACTCACGTGTTGTCTGAGTCGTGTGTTGCTGCATGTTACGCAGGTGAGGTGAGTGACAGCCCTGTCATTCATCAACTGACGCACCAATGCCACTGTTTCCCGTTCGTCCGTTGCACCCACACCGTCTGCACCATCTCTGCCTCACGGCCTGCTTGCCATCGCAAGGAGGGCCGCTCCACCCTTCCACCGGTTCGCCCCTTCCAATCATATATGATTTTTCTTTCTCCCTGCAATGAACTCGTTCCCCAGAGCTCTCTCTCCTCAATGCAGACGAGTGTACCCCAACCCACCCACCCACACATCTGCCCACCCTTCCCCCCCCCTCCCTCCTCAGTGACAAGCGCCTCAAGATCCTAAATCTCGGCGACTCGCATGCAGCGGCAGCAGCGGGCGCGGAGGCGGGGGCGGGCGTGGGAGGCGTGGGGGTGGGCGGGGTGGACTCGGATGACGATGCTGTGGACCCTCACCTCAACCGCATCCGGGCAGGGGGGGCTGATGAGAGCGACGAGGAGGTGCGTGTAGGGTGGAGAAGGGGGGGGAGAGGGGGGTCAGTTAAGTGGCTGAGTAGACCCTCACCCCAACCGCATTCGTGGGGGGGGGCTGATGAGAGCGATGAGGAGGTGCGCTGGCGGAGGGTTTAAGGTGTAGGTTTTATGTGTTAGGGTTTACGGAGCATGATGATGTTCTCAGGGGGAACGAACATATGCTGGTAGAGGTGGGAGAGAGGGATGGTGGGTTGAATGGTTGAGTGGACTGGGACGATGACTCCGTGGACCCTCACCTCTACCGCATCTAAGGAAGGGGGGGCTGATGAGAGCGATGAGGAGGTGTGCGCAGAGGGGGGCGGAAGGGGAGGCATGTGGGGGCAGAGAAGCGGAGAGAGTGATGTGGGGTTGGGTGGGTGTTTAATCTGGATGTTGATGTCGTTTGTCCGGCCACACCCCTTCCATGTGCCCGCTGCCTGCCCTCCCGTGTATCCTGCGCATGCCTCACCCTCCTCACACTCCCCCATGGTTTGGTGTGCGGATGCGGCATTGGGCAGGACGAGGACTTTGTGGCGGGAAAGGATGAGGACGACCGGGGCTCGCAGTCCGACTCGGGCAGCAGTGGCAGCGGCGAGGGCAGTGGCAGCGACAGCGATAGCGATGCCAGCAGAGCCGCCAATGAGGACGAGGAGGAGACCGCCAAGCGCAAGGTGCGGTGCAGGGGGGACGGGCGGAGGGGGCTGGTTGGGGGTGGGGAAGGGTCGAGTGTCAAGAGTGGGAATGTTTGATCTGGCCCGGAACCCATCCAAGTTTAGTACTTTGGTTTCCATGCATTTTTCCCAGTCATGGGGAGACGGTACTTGTGTTGGAAGATATGTTTGTGGGAGCTGTGTGGAGGTTAACAGCTTGTTTGGCTCTCGCTTGGACCACGACGTGCAGCCCCGCCCCACTCCTCCTCCAGCGATACACGCTGCCACTGAAGGCGTGTGCGAGCAGCTGGGTTGAATGTGCAAGCAAGCCAACACTTGTCCTGTTTGTGTGACTTTGTGAACGCGTGACTTGTTCTCACACACGTGTTTCTGGGTATCATGGGTGCATGCGTGCATGTGTTTGTGTGTGGTTGTGGGGTGCATGGGTGATTGCATGTATGTGTGTGTGTGTGTGGTTGTGGGTGCTTGTGCATGGGGCCAGGAGAAGGCACGCAAGGAAAAGGAGAGGGAGAAGGCGAGGGAGGAGAAGGCAGGCAAGGCGGCGAGCAGTGGGGCGGCGAAGAGGAAGAGCAAGGAGGGGGCGGGAGGGGGCACAGCGGATGACGGGGGGAAGAAGAAGCGCAAGAAGAAGGACCCCGACGCGCCCAAGCGTGCCCTCTCCGGCTTCATGTACTTCAGCCAGGCTCAGCGCGAGGTGCGCTCCCCTGCCTGCCTCCCTCCCTGCCTCGCTCCCTCGCTCCCTCCCTCCCTCCCTCCCTCCCTCCCTCCCTCCCTCCCTCCCTCCCATGTGCATTGTTGGCAGCCTTTGCTGCTCCTCTAAGCAGACAGATACATTTCGTGTGGTGTCCACAGTGTGCGTGGGTGCATACGTGCACGGGTGTATGCATGTGTGTGCATGTGTGTGCATGTGTGTGCATGTGTGTGCATGTGTGTGCATGTGTGTGCATGTGTGTGCATGTGTGTGCATGTACATGCCCGTGAGCGCAGCAAGTGAAGAAGGACAACCCAGGCATTGCATTTGGGGACATTGGCAAGCTGATCGGCGAGAAGTGGAAGAAGATGTCAGGTGCGATAGAAAGGGGGAGGAGAGGGTCGATAGAGGGGGGATGGCAGGTGGGTTGGAGGGGGGGATGGCAGGTGCGATGGGGGAGGGAAAGGCAGGTGCAATGGGGGAGGGAAAGGCAGGTGCAATGGGGGAGGGAAGGCAGGTGCAATGGGGGAGGGAAAGGCAGGTGCAATGGGGGAGGGAAAGGCAGGTGCCATGGGGGAGGGAAAGGCAGGTGCAATGGGGGAGGGAAAGGCAGGTGCAATGGGGGAGGGAAAGGCAGGTGGAATGGGGGAGGGAAAGGCAGGTGCCATGGGGGAGGGAAAGGCAGGTGCAATGGGGGAGGGAAAGGCAGGTGCAATGGGGGAGGGAAAGGCAGGTGCAATGGGGGAGGGAAAGGCAGGTGCAATGGGGGAGGGAAAGGCAGATGCAATGGGGGAGGGAAAGGCAGATGCAATGGAGGGATGGAAGGGCAGATGGGCGGGCTGGGATAGGGAGGTGCAATGCAAGAGGGATGTAGTGAAGTGCCGCCTTACCACATGCATCTGCTTGTATCTGCTTTCATCCGTTGTCACTCCACTCAACGCACCATCCTTGTGTTTTCTGGTCTTCCCTCCCTCCCTCCCTCTGCACACACTTCCCCTCGTGCCTCGGCACTTGTCATTCTCCAATGTGCATGGGTGTGTGTGGGCGAGCAGGGGAGGAGAAGGCGCCGTACGAGAGCAAGGCGAGGGACGACAAGGCACGGTATGCGGTAATCAGCCCCGGACTGCTGCTTCCTTACAATCCTTCTGAAGACTGAGATTTTTAGATTGATATACGTCGGGGACAGAAGATTCTGGATGGTCACCGGAGTCGGCCAGAACGACGCTCGTCATCCATTTTAAACTCACATTTGCTGATCGATTCGTTCGCTGCTCTTGCGACTGCTTGAGTCGACGACTAACTATGTGACTCCTAAAAACTGGACATAAAAAGCGGCATGAAGAGAGAGGGAATGAAACCGACACAGGAATCTCATGATGGCGGAGAACACCTACCCACCGACTGATCGCATTTTCAGCGTTCTTCAATTTCTTTCTCACAATTTGAGAACCCTGAAATTGAACGAGTGAAAGTGTAGGCTCTGGTGAATGAAACGTACTTGTTTGGTGAATCTCCTTTGCAATTCTTTCTCTCATCGTGTGGTGCGGTGCGGTGCGGTGCGGTGCGGTGCGGTGTGGCAGTGCAAGGAATGCAGCTGGTGGGGGAGCTGGACCGGGAGCTGCGTGTGGTGTCCGTCATCTGCCGGGTACGATGGCATGCCATGATATGATATGATGTGGCATGCTATAGCATGGTGGTATCCGTCATCTGCCGGATACGATGTCAAAAGTCGTTTGTGGATGAAAAGCTGTACATGTCAAGTCAACCCTGTCCACCACCACCCCTCACAAACCCCCACCCCACCCCGCCACTTCCCTCATCTCCTCCCCTACTTCTATCCCCTTCCCTTTCAATTATCTCCTTTCCCCCCTCTTCTCCCCCTTACCCACAATCCCTGCACATGCACGTGTTGGGAGCAGAATGCGAGGAGGCATCTGAACAAGGCGATGGAGGAGGTGGCGAGCGACTTGGTGGTGGCTGCCAGTGTCAACAAAAAGAAGATGCTCACCGTGAGTGCTGTGCTGCTTCTGCCTACCTTGGTTCTTAAGAAATCTCGAAAACCAACCAGTGTCAACAAGAACAAGATGCTCACTGTAAATGTTGACTTTTGAGAATTTTCAAAATGTGATACAAGCACTGCCAGCCAGTGTCAACAAGAAGAAGAAGCTCACCGTGAGTTGATTCATTTTACCTCCGTCCCTTGAGCTGAGCTCACTCACTACTACCCACATCCTCTGCTCCCTGTTCTCTTGCTCCCCTACCAAAACAGATTGCCTTTGTTCATGTGCATGCACCGACCGGTGGACGTGCCATGCCTTAATTCTATACGCTTTCCTCTTCCCTCCACACCAGAGCATGCTGCCAGTACTGATGCGCATGCAGCAGGTGGTGGACGTGCGGGGGCGCATGGACGCATGCATCGACGAGGGCGATTTCGCCCGCGCGCTGCGCCTCTGCTCGCACTGCCTCGTTCTCATCGAGCAGAACGCACAACTGGCGTCGATACGAGACATGAACATCAGCATAGAGGTGTGTGGTGATGATGCTCAAGACTAGCCGCTACTTCCACTGTGCGCTGGATGTGCTGCCTTTATGTGTATCAAAGACTGCGGTGTAGCTGGCCTGCTGCTCTGCTGGCCTATAGCGACATCTGAAATCCCCATGTATGGTTGCTGTTGTAATAAACATTCTCCATGCTTATGAGCTATTTCAGCAACAAACAATGAACTGAGTAATGACAGCGATCCAGTGGCGCTGAAATATGAAGCATTATTGCTGTAGTGACTGCAGGCTTGTGCAGTATGTGACAGCAGCATGGCACAGCAGCATGGCACAGCAGCATGGCACAAGGTAGGTTCACCAGCATTTGCAGCACATGACATCCCTTGATAACACAGGGCGCACACCGCGCATGGGTGGCAGAATAGCACTGGCACGATGGGCATGAGGGGCATCAGTGGCACGATGGGCATGAGGGGCATCAGTGGCACGATGGGCATGAGGGGCATCAGTGGCACGATGGGCATGAGGGGCATCAGTGGCACGATGGGCATGAGGGGCATCAGTGGCACGATGGGCATGAGGGGCATCAGTGGCACGATGGGCATGAGGGGCATCAGTGGCACGATGGGCATGAGCGGCATCAGTGGCACGATGGGCATGAGGGGCATCAGTGGCGGGGTTGCTTGGCGCGTGGAGGGCCCATGGGCGTGCGGGACGAGGCGGGAGTGGAGGGCGGAGGGGGCTTGCTGATGCCCAGATACTGCTCCACCTGTGGGGGGCACGGTGGGGGGGGGCGGGTGCGGAAGGAAAGGAGAGAGTGCAGATGGTTAAGGGGGTTAACGGGGTGATGCGGGTTTCAGGGTTGAACGGGACGAAGGGGACGAAGGGGGTGGGGGGGGGTGAGAGAGGTTAAAGGGGAGACGAAGAAGTGCTGCGGCACCACAGCAACAGCACGTCAAAATAACCTCTCAATGCCACCCAGTGTGCCCACCCTCTAAGAGCAGCAGAGCCCCATGGGAGTCTCCACGCACCGCCTGCTACCACCTCTCTGCCACTCCTTCGCACCACCCCCCTACTCCGCCTTGCTCCCTCTCCGCCCCGTTAGAACCCTCGACAAGGTGGGTGGGAAGGTCGCTTGCACCTCTCGCCCTTGGCCCTCCCCCCACCGCCGTGATGAGTGGAGCATGCAGCTGAGAAGCACCATGTGTATCACCTTCCTTCACCCATAATCACCTTCCCTTACAATCAAGTACTGCCACTCACCTTGCCCCACACCCCACCTTACCCCACCGTGCCCCGCGCCCCACCTTATCCCACCGTGCCCCGCGCCCCACCTTATCCCACCTTGCTCCGCACCTCACCTTGGCGTCGCCCAGCATGGGCGTGAGGCTGCCCACCACCTCCCTCTCCCTCTCCATCGTTGCAAACGAGTTGGCCGGGTCCGAGATCTGCCTGCTCCCACCACATGGGGGAGGAGACGCATGTGTACACATGCACACGCACACACACACACACATGTACATCAGATGTTCATGGCCAGTAATAAACAGCGCCTTCCATACACTCCTTCCATCCTACACTCATCCCCCCCCCCTCCCTCTCCTGCACATGACACTCCTTGCCCGCACTCCCATTCTCACGCTCAACCACCCACAACCGCGCTTGACATGCGCGGTGATGGCGACTTGGTGTGCGCATGGCATCCACCTCCTTGACGTGACGCCATGACACAGAAATAGCCTTCCTCCCAACCCTCCATCACATCGTGCTCATGACCCCTCACACCCTCATCCTCCCTCCCCCCCATCACACCCTCAACATCCCCCTCACGCCCCCATACAACCCCTCACGTGCTCACCGCCTCAGCAAGCAACCTCAACCCCCCCCTGCGGACTCACCCCGGCTTCACATGCTGAATGACGACGCCGTAGACTCGTAGGGCGACTGCGTGTGCGCCTGCACCTCCTAGAAACACAGAGAGCCTCCCCCCCCACCCACGCCCCTTCATCCTGCACATGACAAATGTTGACCACACACTCAACCCTTGTGCATCTTCAACCCCCTCAACAGACTCACCCCGCCTTCACGTGCCCCATGATCACCACATATGGCGACTGCGTGTGAGCCTGCACCTCCTTGAGTCGCTCCCATGAGATAGAGACAGCCCCGCCCCTCTCCATCATGCACGTCACACCCCACCTTCCCGCACCCCAGCTTGACATGCCAGGTGATGACCACGTAGGGCGACTGCGTGTGCGCCGGCACCTCCTTGAGTCGCTGCCATGAAACAGAGACAGCCTTTCCCCTCCCTCCATCCTGCACATGACACACCGGCTTCACTCACCCCGGCTTCACTCACCCCGGCTTCACTCACCCCGGCTTCACTCACCCCGGCTTCACTCACCCCGGCTTCACTCACCCCGGCTTCACTCACCCCGGCTTCACTCACCCCAGCTTCACTCACCCCGGCTTCACTCACCCCGGCTTCACATGTCCTGTGATGACCACATAGGGCGACTGCGTCTGCGCCTGCACCTCCCGGAGGCGCTCCACGGAGTGCATGGGCGTGTCGCCCGCCGCCATGCCCTTGCGCTTGAGGTCCTCCTCATAAGCCCGCATGCGCTTCTCCTGCTTCATCTTGCCCGGCCCCTTCCCGTGGAACGCGTGTGACAGCTTGCGGAACGCCTCCTTGGGCGTCATCTGTGGGGCACAAAGGGGGGTGACAGCGAGAGAGAGAGAGAGAGAGAGAGAGAGAGAGAGAGAGAGAGAGAGAGAGAGAGAGAGAGAGAGAGAGAGAGAGAGAGAGAGAGAAGCAAGGGACTTAGTCTCTTCCCTCCTAGGTTCTTCCCCTCTCTTCCCCAGCTATATAAGGGCCCCTTGGCCTTCTCTCCAGCTCATTCTTCATTTGGTGTCTCTGATTTTTCCGGTTCGTTCGAGAGAGCGAGAGAGAGAGAAGCAAGGGACTTAGTCTCTTCCCTCCTAGGTTCTTCCCCTCTCTTCCCCAGCTATATAAGGGCCCCTTGGCCTTCTCTCCAGCTCATTCTTCATTTGGTGTCTCTGATTTTTCCGGCGCTCGCGGGCGCGGCCTGCGGCCGCGCGCTTGGGACGACAAGGACAATAACAAGGACGGCTAGATGACGGCAAAAATGACAACCATGGCAGACAACGACAACTAGACAAGCTACCATGGAACGGGTCTACACACGCGCGAGGGGGCCGCCTACATGCGGTCCGCCTCAAGCTCACCAAGCATTTCGCGCGTGGTCAGCCACATCTGGCGGACCACTGACGCGGTGGCGCCGACAACGTCAACAGGAGTTCCACGAGTTGCTACAAGGGTCCTCAGACCCAGGGCCGTCTCAGCCAGCAGGGTGGCCGAGACTACTCCCGGCGAGGGCGCGACCTGCAGTGGCGATACGAACGAGAATAATGCTGACGCCGCCGTGTGACACCTTGCTCGCGGCATCTGAGAGAACGCGCTCGGCGGGGTCTCCAACATGGAGCCATGCGACTCCTGGAGAATCAGCTCAAGACTCTGCAGGCACTCCGCCAACGACCACAAGTGCGCCAGGGTCGCCGTGGGCACTGGCTTCATCTGCGGGGGGAATGCAGACGCGCGAGATCGGCGAGCCGACACTGCCAGATCACGAGGAGCAGGGAGGGGTCGTGGCGGAGCAAACTGGGCCCACGGGTCCCCGCCACCCGCGCCAACAAAGCCAGTCCCCGCAGGCAGCGGACGAACTAAGCGCGCCGGGGATCCCACAGGATTATGGGGCAGGAGCGCGGCGAGAGGAGCGACTGGAGCAGCAGGAGGAGCAGATTGCGAGGACGACCCCGCATGGGAGCGGTGGAGAGCTTTCTCCACACCGTCCAATTTCTTCAGGACTTGCTCCATCGCGGAAGGCGCTGGACGCGCAGCCCCGCCGCGACCGTAACCCCCCCGTCGCCCACGATGCGCACGCCCACTCGCGCTCGAACGCACAGGCGACTGTGGGCGAGACAGGCCCCGCTGACGCTGGCGGTCAGAGGAACGCTCCGTGCGACGAGGAGAGTAGAGCCGCTGGCGCTTCGCAAGAGGGGGAGAACGTGGCGCCAAGGACCGATATCCAGTCGCATCACGAGCAGGCGATCGCGGACGAGAGGAGCGGGGAGCGGGAGAACGGTGGCGATACGAGCGGTGGTCGCGGGAACGGCTCCGTGACACCTTGCGCCGAGGAGATCGAGGAGACCGCGGTGATCGCGGAGACCGCGGCGGGCGCAAGTCAGCGCGACGGCCGTCGTGGCGGCTCTCCCGCCTACCGTCGTGGGCCACCGGCGAACGATGGCGAGGCGAATGCCCCCGGTGCGCCACAGCCTCTGCGCCGGAGCGCGCGACGGACCCCACACGCGCAGGCTCCCCCAGAGGCAAGGATCCGCCTCCGAGCAGACCCAAATCCCGACGCTGATCCTCAAAGCGCCGACGGATCTCGTCCGCAGCCGCCGGCGGAGCAACAGGCACGCTCGCGGCAGGACGCGCGGGAGGAAGTGGACGGGGAGCAGGATCAACCTCCACGGCGCGGTCACAGCCCAGAGCACCGAGGAAGTCCATCGGCCTCCGCTCTAGGCGCGCCACTGGCCCGGGACGGGCCGATGACCCCGATCTCCCAGGCGCAACAGGCCGCACCAGTGGCCGCCACTCCGAGGAGCGGGCGGGGAAGCACGCGGGGAAGAGGCGGGCGTCGAGGAGCACGCGGAGTACAGCGCAGCACAGGCCACGCGGCAAGGGGGAACCCCTGCCAGCCACCGAGTCCAATCTGGTTAGGGGAGCCGGCGGAACGAGTCACGCGCCAGTCGTTCGCCAGGCGCGGGGCGAGGGGTGGAAGGACAGCGCAAGCAGGGAGAAATGGCGATACAAATGCAGAGGGGAGTGGCGACGAATATGTACCGTCGGATCTGAGGCAACCCGACAATCCCGACTCACCCCGCGCGGGAGCAGGGGCGGAGCAGGCGCAGCTGCAGGAGAGAGGATTGGGCCGCCGACAGAACCGCAGACCCCAACCCCCCCCGGACCAGGCCCTCTCAGTATCCCAGCTGGCATCGAGGGACGATCTCTTTGAGATCGCGATGAGCTGGGACTTGTCTACCCTAACATCGACCTCTCACCTGCCTATCGTCCGCCGCCTGCCGCCGCAGATCCTAAGCGACTATTCCACCTGTATGCTGGCAGCGCTCCTACGGATCTCCAAGCTGCCAAACTGCGCGGGAGCTTGGCAGGTCCTCATGTTTCTGCCACGTCTGACCCTACGACTTAGCAGGAGGTCCAGCTCTAGGTGGAAGGTGCTGCGAGAACAAATGCACCTATTCAGATGTGGCCACTGGAACCAGCTGTACAGTGACTACACGGGGTCCCTGCACCAAGCCGAACCACCTCAGCACCAAAATGACCCCCTGGGAATCTGCTCACGAGCGGAGGGGCTGGTGAAACGGGGTAACCTGCGAAAAGCACTTGCAGCCCTCCAACCCTCGCCAGCAGCCCCTGCGACAACCGCGACACTACAGCAGTTGGAATCGAAACATCCCCAACCCCAAATTGACCTGCCCGACTGGGTCCACTCCTACACAACACCCACGCAATTTTCGTGCACCGCGGAAAACTTCTCAAACGTTCTTGGGGATTGCCCCAGCGGTGTTGGGGCTGGTCCATCTGGGTCAACTTTTGAACATTACCGCGACCCAGCCCTAAGTAACATCGAAGTACTAGGGCACCTGCACTCCGCCGTAACCCACCTCCTCTCGACAAACCTCTCCGCCGAGGTTGCAGCACTACTCTCGCCATCCCGCCTCATTGCATTCGCGAAACCAGGGGGGGGGGTACGCCCTATAGCGATAGGAGAATCCCTGCTCCGCCTGGCAGCAAAGGTTGCACTCTCAGAACTGCAAGGAGAAACAAGGCGATTTTTCTTACCCCAACAATTCGGCGTGGCAGTCCCAGGCGGGGCCGAGTTCGTTATCCACGCAGTCAGAGACCTCACCACTTCACATCCATCAAGCCTAGTCCTCCAACTCGACATCGAAAACGCATTCAACTCCGTAGAGAGGATAGCGTTCTTTAACGCACTCACCAACACCCCGCTCGCCCCACTCATTCCCTTCACACGCTCCTTCTATGCGACGCCTTCACAGCTGCTGACCGATCCCCGCTTAAGCACAACGGCACTCACCAGTGGTAGGGGAGTTAGGCAGGGGGACCCCCTTGGACCCCTTCTATTCGCGGCTTCAATCCAGCAGCACCTCAGACGCGTAGCAACAGAACACCCCGAAGTCACAGTCCTAGCATACGCAGATGACATCACCCTGATTGGACCGACGACAGCAACGCTAGACGCACTAAAGGTACTGACACCGCTGCTAGCCCAGGACGGCTTCACCTGCAACCTCCGAAAATCGTCGGCCTGGTCCTCCTCGCCGATCGAAGGTAATGAGCTCCCTGAGGGCCTTCCCCTTACCCACGAGGGGTACGGGTGCTAGGAAGCCCTGTGGGGTCACAACGCTTCTGCGCTGACCTTGTCCGCAGTACCTTGACTGACGCGGCGGCACCCCTGGGCTCCTTAGCATCCATCCATTCACAGCACACCCTCCTGCTCCTATCTCGCTGCATCAGCCGCAGAATAGGCTACCTGCTGCGCACCACTCCGGCAGACGCCCTACCTCTCTCAGAATGGCATACGTGGTGCGCCGAACTGCTCAACACTGCCTTAACCGCCGCCAGCATCCAACCACCCCGCCATGACACAGAGTTCAACTTCCTACTTCGCCAAGCAACCCTCCCAGTAGCACTGGGTGGGCTAGGCCTCACGGACCCCACAACAGAAGCAGCACCAGCCTACCTGGCTTCGACAACAGAGGCGCTACGCCTACTCCGCTCACTTGACCTCCCAGCAACCTCGGCGCTAGGGAGCAACAGCAACGCTCTACAGCCGTCGGCAGCACACTCGGTCACCATCCAAGACATGGAGGGACGACTGCCACCACTGGCACTGCAAATCCTCCGCGGGGAACAGGAATCCCCGTCCCAAGACCAGCTGCAGCGCGCCCTTTCCCAGGAAGTACATGCGACAAAAGCCGACGGCCTGACAGAGGAATCACGCGCAATCAGGTCTGCCCCCGAGATGGGGCACACACTCCGCCTCGTCAGCCTGAGAGGTGAGGGAGCGGGGGCATGGCTGCAGGCCCTACCCCTAACCCCAGATCTCTGCTTTTCACCAGGGCAATTCCGAACAGCCCTGGCCTTCCGCATGGGCATCCGACAGAACGTACCCACCGTGTGCGAATGTGGAGAGCTCGTAGCCGACTGCAGCCTCCCCAACCACTTACTCCGCTGCAGCACAGGCCCTGACCGAACACGCACACACAACCAGCTGGCTTTCGCCGTGGCTAAAGTGGCGAGGGAGGCACAGCTGGTGGTATACCTGGAGAACGCGATGTACTCACCACCGGATGACCCGAAGAAGGCAGATGTGATTGTACGCGACCCAGACAGTGGTGAAACATGGATCACAGACACGACCATCACTGACCCCGTGCTACAGAACCGTGACCCAGCAGCCCGCAAACCCCCTGGATGGGCTGCAAGGGAGGCTCAGAAAAGGAAGGAACGGGACTACTACAGGCACACAGAACACGTGGTGTTCTGCGCCCTAGCCGTTGAGACCTATGGGGCAAACGCACCCCCCACGACGGCGTTCCTGAAGCTGCTGGCCACAGCAGCAGCTAGGAACCGCTTCAGGGCCAATCCCTTGGCGAAAACCGCCAAGAAAATGGCCTGCCACTTCAGCCAGCGCTGGTCAGTGGCCCTCCAGCGCTCTCAAGCGAATGCCCTGCACACCAAGGCCAGGGCAGGGATCGAGGCGGCGCACCCCCAGATGGCAGCAGACCCATGGCCGCTGCACCTGGGGGACATCCTCCACACGCTGGAGGGGTAGAGGGTCACTGAGGGGGGAGGAGGGTCAGAGGGATGGGCCAATGGGGCAGAGGGTCTAAAGGGAACCACAAATCAAACCGTATGCTTGTACCGCCGCTGAATTAATACAAAGGACCATTTGAGAGAGAAGAACCGAGCACCGTTTCAACTCTTGCTATGGAGATGTGGAACTCTCACAGGACAAACGACCTTGGTTGACACTCACATGCACGTGACGCCATGCCCCATGCCAACCCACGCTGCACGGCAACCCATTCCTTGGTGCACTCCACGAATCGTAACCCCTGCAAACATCCGGTCATCCACCATGCGCCCCACTCCCCACACAGCCAACTCACCACGCGGCCGAACTCGTCGATGCGGTCGATGCGCACTTCCTTGAACGCGTGGGGGCGCTCCCGCCCGTGCTCGTCCAGCAGGCCCACGCGCTCCTTGCCCTGCTCCTCCACCACGCCCACCAGCTTGCTACGCTTCTTGTCCATCGTGCGCCCGCCCCACTCCACCTCGCCCTTCAGCGCCCCCCGGTCCTTGAGCAGCGCCAGCGCCGCCGCCAGCCCCTTCCCCACCGGCGCCTCCGATATCGCATCCATCCCCGCCTCCCCCTCTCCCGCCCCTGCCCCCTCCCCTTTCTCCGCTCCCTCGCCTGTGCCCTTGCCCTCGCCCCCGCCCGCCGCGCCCTCCTCTGCATCGCCCATCTCCTCGTCGTCTGCCCGTCCCGCTTCACCTCCATCCACCCGCCCCCGTCTGCACTGCTCGCCGCAGCAGCAGCCACAGCGGAGGAGGAGGGGGGGAGGGGGAGGGCAGCGGCGGCGGCGGCCAGTTCCTCCTTGGCGGCGGCGGCGGCTTCCCTCGCATTCACTCGCTTCACCAACGCTGTTGGGCGAGTGGGGGCAGGGACAGGGAGAGGAGAGAGGAGGGCGGAGGCACGAAAGAGGAGGAGAGAATGAAACAGCAGAAAGATTGGTTGAATGCGTCTTGTGGTGCACACAGCAGGCAGCAGGCGGCTGTGGCAGGCATGACAGAACAACACTGCCTTGTTGCTGCACTGCTGATACCATGACAGCACAACACTGCCTTGTTGCTGCACTGCTGATACCACCATGCCTTGCGCCCGTGCAGTCATGCTTGCTTGGTAAGCAGGAAGGCTGGGTACGGGTCGAGAAAAGGACAGCAGCATCCTGCCAGCTCACCATCGTCCTGCCAGCTCACCATCGTCCTGCCAGCTCACCATCATCCTGCCACCTCACCATCGTCCTGCCACCTCACCATCATCCTGCCAGCTCACCATCATCCTGCCACCTCACCGTCATCGAGCTGCAAGCCACGGCAGAACTCCCCCGTGTCGCTGAACACAAGCCCGCGCCCCACGCCCTCCCCCTCCTCCTCCTCTTGTGCCCGCCTCCTCACGCGCCCCACCTGTTTCACCCGCGCCAGCACCAGCGCCTCACCCTTCACTGCTGGCCCCACCTTCGCCTCTTCCCCACCAGCACCAATCACCCCTTCCATGTCCGCCTCCTCTTTCACCCTCCCCACGTCACCCACACCGGCAGCAGCAGCAGCAGCAGCCTCCTCCTCGTGGCGGCGGCGCAGGGCGAGCTGTCGGGTGCGCTGCAGCGACCGCTGCAGGTCCTCATCATCGTCGCCTATCACCACCGTGTCCGACCCCTCTCCTTCTTCCTCCTCTTCCTCCTCCTCTTCCCCTTCCCTGCCTGCCTCCTCACCCGTGCCCTTCTCCTGCTCCTCCACCTCTTCCCTCTTCACCACCGCCCCTCCATCCCCTTCCTCCCCTCCTGCTCGCCCATCCACATCCATCTCCTCTTTCACAACCCCCCTCTCCTCCCTTCCACCCACCCCCCCCGCCTCCTCGCCACCCTCCCCTTGCTCTGCTTTCAGCACCATCGAGGCCTGTACCGCCTTGGCCTTGGCGCTCTCATAAGCCGCCCGCCCGCCCCTCTCCTCCCTCGCCTGCTCCTCCCTCCGCCTCGCCGTCACCCCCGTCCCTCCCTCCCCGTCCCTCCGCCCCAGATCCGAACCTCTCCCCAAACCTGCCGCCCGAGCCTGCGCCTCTAGCTCATCCAAATCCAGTTTCTCCTTCTTCCTCTTTTTCTTCATCATACCCCCTCCTCCCTCCCCTCCTCCACCCTCCCCCTCCTCACCCCCCTCCTCTCCCCCTCGTCGCCGTCTGCTCTCCTTCTTCCGCTTTGGCTTTCTGAACTGCGCCGCCCGCCGCTGCTCCATCTCCTCTGCCGTCAGGAAGTCACTCGCCACCTTTGGAGCGGCGAAGCTTGTCCCATCCGCCCCTCCCCCAAATGTGGTGCTGCCCAGCGCGTGGGGGGCAGGGGGGAGCGTGCTGGCTGCGCCCTGCAGCCTGCTGCGCACCTGGAGAGAAGGGGAAGGGGATGAGATGGGCGTGGGGGGAAACGTGGGGGAAAGGTGAGAGAAGAGACAAGCTTCACATGCCGACTCTTGCCAACAAGCACGCACTGAGGGAGAGGGGCGGGACAAGTGGGGGAGTCAGGGATGGAGAAGAGCATGGATAGGAGGGAGGGGAGTTGGGACAAGAGGAGGAAGGAGGGAGCGGAGCAGCGGGGTCATACTTGAGGGGGATGCTCCCAGAGTGGAGGAGAGGGTGGGAGCAACAAGGAGTCTCTGAGGCGACCCAGCAGTACCAAAATTGCAATGTCAGCTCCTCACAGCTTCTAACAGAGTGCAAGGGTTGGAAGGATGGGAGGACCGCTGTCCCCCCTTTCATCTGCTCTCCCTCTTGCCTCGCCTCTCCCCTCGCCTCACCTCCCCTCTGCCCTCAACCCTCCTCGCCTGCCCTCACCCCTCCTCACCTGCCCTCACTCCTCCCCGCCTGCCCTCACTCCTCCTCGCCTGCCCTCACCTCACTCCTCCCCGCCTGGCCTCACCCCTCCTCACCTGCCCTCACTCCTCCCCGCCTGCCCTCACTCCTCCCCGCCTGCCCTCACTCCTTCGCCTGCCCTCACCCTTCCTCGCCTAGCTTGCCCTCACCTGGTCCAGTCGCGAGCGAGTGGCCTCGTCCAGCCCGCCTGACCCGTCCAACACTATGCCCTGCCGCCATGTGCCCAACACAGCCATACCACGTCACACCACGTCACACCACGCCACACCACGCCACACCACGCCACACCACGCCACACCACGCCACACCACGCCATACCACGCCACATCACGCCACACCACAGTCGTGGCCAGCCGTGCGGAACAAAGGTGGCAAGGGAAAGAGGGGAGAGTAGGGGGAGGTAGGGTTGATGAGCGCATGGCATGAGAATAAGGGCGCCGTTCACGGCCTGCACTGCATGCAATGGTCGTCATGGATCTCTTGCCCTTCCAACCCCTCTCTGCCATCGCATCCCCACTGCTCACCCCTCCTGCACCTCACCCCTCTTGCTGCCCACCCCTGGTGCAGCTCACCTCGTCGTCCTGCCCATCGTCATACTGTGGCAGCATGGGCTTCTTCTCGCCCTCGTCCTCCGCGAACCTGCGACACGTGGGGGGACGAGAGGCGGGGAGGGGCGTTACAGCGAGAGGCAGGGAGGGCAGAGAGGGCGAGAGGCAAGGAGGGCGAGACGCAGGGAGGGCGAGAGGCAAGGAGGGCGAGAGGCAGGGAGGGCGAGCGGCAGGGGATGGGGGAGGCAGTAAATGAGAGAGGCGGGCCGTTGGAACGTGCTTCTGACTTGTCTCTGTGACTACAACACTCCATGCCGTGCTCCCACTCCAACCCTTTCCAGCCCCCCAAGCAGGTCGATAGCACTGCCCATCTCATCTCACTTGTCGGCGATGCTGGTGGTCTTCTTGGCAGCGCGGTACGCCTTGTCTCGCCGGCTCTGCTCCGCCACCTCCACGTTCTCCAACTCGTCCTCCTCTGCTCTCCCGCCGCACCCACCACGCCATGCCCCGCAATGGAGGGGGAAGAGGCGGGGACAGGAGGGGACGAGGGTAAGAGGGGAGGAGGGGAATAGAGAAGGTTAGTCAGGGACAAAGTAATGCTGATGCACAAGGAGGTGGGTGGGTGCGAGCGCAAGGAGAGGAAGACGACAAGACGGAGATAGATGGAGGTGCAGAAAGCAACAACATTGGGACGCTCTCGTCCATTGGTGTCTGCCTGCCCGCAGCAGCACCTTCATTGACGTCGTCCCCCGCGAGGATGGAGGCGTCCTTGAGTGTGAGCACCACGGCCGCGCCCTCCTGCAGCACCGCGCCCACCCCGTGCCTCACCCTCAGCCCCGCCAGGTCGCCTGCACGCTCGCACAGGGAGGAGGGGGGTGGAGGGGACGGGGGGGGTGGGGGGGGTACGGAGGGAGGCAGGAAAGGAGAGAGGGGTGACGGAGAGAACGAGGGTAATGAGTGAGAAAGGGAGTGGGAGCGGGTGAGGACGCGGAAGTAAGAGTGGGAAGGGGAGGGAGCGACGGGTGTGTGCAGATAAGTCACCCTGGCCCGGTGGCCGCAATGGCAAGGGGGAGGGAGGGGGGGAGGTGAGGGGAGGGGAGGCGGGGGGGGGAGGGAGCTCACGAGAGGTGTACTCGGGTCGGGATGACCGCTGTCGCCCTCCTTGCTCCTCGTCGTCCTCCTCCTCCTCCTCCTCCGCGGCCGTTGCGTCCTGCAGTGAGACCACAACCGAGAGACGCACGGCACTGCGGGGAATAAAATCTTCATTGCCTTTGTCAAGGAAACGTCGCACGGTTGATTACAAAAGGAAACGGCGGTTCATACAAAGTGCATCAGTAACAGACGACAAAATTGCGCCGGCGGTGAAACGAGTTAGGCAGCAAGCAGCAGACAATGGAGTGACAATGAAGCACTCCTTTGCGTGACAACGGGTAGTCACGATAATCAACTTCGTGGCGACCAAACGAGTAAAGCAAGCAACGGCGGGAAACTCGATCACAGAAATAATCAAGCACGCCACGAAACCCAACGCCATGGCAATCCATGGCCAACGGCGAACACGCTTCCGTAACGCGACGGACATGCGTCACGAGGTGAGGCGAGACACGCAACGGTAAACAGGACGGAGGCACGCGAGTCGTACCTGGTCGGCGAGCATGCGCGCCATGCGGTCCGCCTTCTCCTTCTCCGCGCGCCGCTTCTCGTCCAGCTTGCGACTCTTCGCCACCCACGCCATCAGATCCTCGCCCGCATCGCCGCCGCCGTTCGCGGCCGCGGCGGCATCGCCTTTGCGAGCCTTGGGAGCCATGCACGCGTCGCTGGGCTGTCCAGGCCTGGAGGAAGATCAGGAACACTGATTGACGATACCAGCGGACTGATGGATCTTTGTGGGATTGTCTTGTGAATGATGGTGCACTGCACCAGCATCTCTTGTGAAAACGGCTCACTAGCACGTGTGTGACCTTCTGGAACAAGAGCTAGCAAAAGCTTTCGCGAAACAAAGAATGGACTGTTGCCACCCAAGGACTTCGCAGGAAAACCTGATTTAGGGGCGCGTTTCAACTAAGTGTTCAACATGATCCAAAAATCGAACCAAAAAATTAGTACCAGTGTACCAGGATTCGAAGGAGCGCTACTTGGAGTGTTGGGCTGAGCTAGAAAACGCGTCTTCCATGACCTGGCCCAAGCGACTTCCAATCTGCTCTGGAGCGGGGAGCAGGGACTAACTGGGCCCAGGAGTTTCTCGCAGGGACTAGTCACTGGCACATGTGCGATCTTCCTCGCTCAACATCTTCCATGCCTGGTCAGCCCCGTCCGCTCCGGCCATAGACGCGTCGCGATCCGCTAGAGAACTGCGCGTGAGTATTTTGGCGCCAATCGGGCAATTTACCTCGAAATCTGCTTGGGGATACGAGAGAGTGAGGTCGCAAGCGATCAGCTAGTGCAGTGATCAGATGAGATGAGATGTTACGAGCGAATTCTGATGTATTAGCCATTGCGGAGTTGCTCCGTCATTGCAAGAGAGCGTAGGGCCTTGCCCCGGTGGTTTTCCCTGCCTTGATCACTGCGATCGTCACGTGCGTGCGCCCAACCCGCCCACCCAACCCTTGCTTGTTCCTCGCAGCTTCCTCTTCCTTCCGCGTGCGACGGGTCTCTCTCCTCTCACGCCGACCGTGACCTGCACAGACGCTGTCTCCGGCTCACAATCGAGCCGCCTTCTTCCTTCGTGGATCCAGAAGGGGTCAGCCCGGAGCTTTGCGCCTGCCTGGCCGTCGTTTAGGGGATATCGCTCAGGCGATTGTCGCTTAGGGGATTTTTGCCCAACGGAGCGTCGCGTGTGGTGTGTGAACGATAGGAGCAGCAAGGGGGTCCTCATCCGAGCCGGTTCAACTTCGAGGGCTTGCGGAGCGCCGCCCCATGGCGACTAAGGTGCGATGGTGGGGTTGTGTCGCACAGCCACTGGCATGGTGCGATTGTGAGGTTGTCGCACAGCTGATGGCTTGGTACAAGGGTAGCTGGGGAACAGAGGGGCTCGGTGCAGTGACGAGAGAGGCGAGTGCAACTGTGGTTTCCTCGCTCTCTCCTTCTCCCTTCCCCCGCGCCTTTCGCTCTTAATGACGTCTGCTCCACTCCGCTACAATGCCTCTTTTCCCTTCCTCTCCTTCTCCCGTGCCTCCCAAAACCCCCCGCCCCCACCCCCCACGCTGCGCACCGACAGAAGCAGTCGCAATCGGGCCTGCTCTCGTCGCTATTAAAACCAGATGTTGCTGAGGATCAGGTATGACGTGGATGGCGGGATGACGTGGATGGCGGGATGACGTGGATGGCTGGATGACGTGGGTGGCAGGATGGTGGGATGGTGGGATGCCGTAAGTGGTGGGGGCATCAGGTACAACGTGGGCAAGAGGGATGGCGTATGAGGGAAAGACGTTGGGATTGTGCTACACTGTGGTAGTGGCAGGTGTTTCTGACTCCTATGGACGCGCAGAACCAAGCAGTGTGGTTGATATGAAGCCAATGTCCCTTTTCACAAAGCAACAAATGTTTGACCTAAAAACTTCCCTTCCTCCTTCATCCCCATCCCCTCCATTGCCGCCCGCTGCCCCCTCCCTCTGACCCTCGCCCTTGGTGCAGGACGCCTTCAAGGACGTGCTGTAATGGATGCGACAGGTGCTCGCAGTGCTCTTGAGTCGATTCGAATGCCACCTCACCCTCTCCCCTCCCTCTTGCCCCGCCCCCTGTGCAGGATGCGTTCAAGGACGTGCTGTACTGGATGCGCCAGGTGCTCGCGGTGCTCTTTGGCGTGGTGTGGGGCATCGCACCCATCACAGGCGGCATTGGGATTATCGGGTCAGTGGCAGCATAATGAGGAGGTAGGGATGGTGGGGTTGGGTTGGGTGGTGGGTAGTAGGCAGGATAGGAGGGGGATGTTTTTCCGGCTTGATAATGAACATTGGCTGCTTCGTTGGATCTGCGCTAACTGTCAGGAGAGCAAGTCAGTAATGCAGAATGGAGATGCCCAATCGAGTCGTTGCCTTGCGATTCCTCCAATCACATACCAGGCGAAATCGTCTCTTTCTCGCATTCCCTTACGTCCACTGGTGAGGCAGCTTCCTGGTGTTGAGCACGGCGGTGATGATGGGGTACTACACGCTCGTGGTGAAGGTGGACGCGGAGGAGCTGGGCGGCCATGGGACACTGCTGCAGGAAGGCCTCCTCAACTCCTTTGGCGTCTTCCTGGTCAGTCTCACTCATTCGCCCCCATGCTGCTTAACTCAGGCATCCTTACGTGGTTTCTCATGTGTGTTGTGCATATTTGTGGAAGTGACTGGGTAGAGTTAGTTTATCACTGGGGTTAGCTTGTTGATTATACCGAGTGTTAGGAATGCCCCACTTCATCTGAACATGTTCCGCTGTGCTCTCTTCCCATGCTCCCATTTCTGCTTGCCCCACTGCAGCTTGTTTGGATACTGCTCTTCACATATCTGCATTCCTCATGAGGTGGCGCACCTGGATGATCGTAGAACCTCCCCATGTGGGCATGCAACCTGACTACTGTTCCGTGTGTCACTCATGCGTATGACCTGTGCTGGTCAGTCAAATTCATTGTTCCTCTTTAGAACCCTTACAGCTGATTATGGTATTTGTGTGGACTGTTTCATAAATCAGCGTACACGCTAAGCAGGACATGCAGTTGCTACATTATGAGTGTAAGTTCTGTTCCAGGCCTCAGCCTCTTCCAATAGCAGTTTCTTTCTTGCATTAAGCCTGTCCATTTTATCAAGTTCTCCGTCATCTTTCAATCCTGTGAAATTTGCTAGTTGGGAAAATTTGGGCTGCTTGAAAGGGAAAACTGTGTATGCAGCTTTTGATTTACAAGACGTTGTACAATACGCGGGAATAAACTCGGGTCTCTAAACAAAATTAGTTAAGCTGGGCGTACCAGATGCCCTCAATCTTCACCTCCTTGGGCACCTTGGCACCCATATCTGTGTCGGACGGCTGCACGCTTGAGAACACACCGCCGATCTCTCCGGTCTCAACATTCGACTTGGCGACGCTGAACGATATGTTACCGCTCAGAGCCTTGTAGCTCTTCTGGTTCTCCTTCTGCAGCTTGTCCTCATCGCCGAAACCACCGGCGGGCAGAGCGACGGCGGTGTCATAGCCCTGAGCGCCACCGCGGCCCTTGGGGTCAAGGAAGGTGGCACCACGGTACGACGGCACGAGGAACGACCCTCCGAAGCTGTCGGCGGTGCCAGAGGCTACAAGCTCCTTGATGGTGAACAGGAATGGAACCCTCTCGCCACCCGCAAGTTGGACGGTGACGGCGGCGTAGTCAATCCCGTCAACCTCCGTGAACTTGAGGTTGTTTCCGTTCACCTCGAGGGGACCCTCGATCTCATCCAGAGTGTAGGTGAGGCGGGTCATGAGCTTCGTCTTCTGGAACTCCTCGCCCTGGCCCTTGAACTGCGACTCAGCCTTCACGGTGAAGCCCGTGGGCTCCAGGCACATCTTGGAGACCTGGTACTTGCCGGACTTGAAGGCGAAGCCGTCAACGCCGCCAGAGATGATGGGGCACTGGTTGGCGATGCCGCTGCCCTTGACCTCAGAGTAGGTCAGGCTCTGGAGCTCGTCGAAGGTCAGCCTGGGAACCGCGGCCTGGGCAGACTGTTCGACAGGAAAAATAGGGACGCAGGAAATGCGGATGAGAAAAAAACTAACAAAAACGGGGACGCAGGAATGGCGGATGAGAAAAAACTAGCACTCGAATGTAGCAGCGGCAAAGATGCCTTGCTCGGATTCGAACGGGACGTCCAGTCCAATTGAACATTCGAGTCTGATGCAGGAACTAAGGGCTCTGGCGCTTCTACAATTTAGCCTTCGATGCTCATCCGACTTACCGAGGCGACCAGGGCAGTGGAGGCGAGGGCAAGAGCAGCGGCCTTGCCGGCATCAGCGCACTTCTGCACGAAGCCGCGCACATTCTCCTCCGCGGAGCAGGACACCTTGGCGGAGGCAGTCTTCAGGCCGAAAGCCTGGGAGACGGGAGCAGCCTTGAGGGAGGCGGCATTGATCTTAGGCTGCACGAACGTGGAAGCCTTGAGGCTGGCGGACGCAGCGGTGGCGGCCATGGTGTCAGATGTGCGTGGAGTGCAGGTGTGCGGAGTGTACACTTGCAAACCAGTCACACTCGTGGAGGAGAAATGGGGTTTCAGAGAGGCTGCTCCAGCGCAGAATCTGATGGAGCCTCGAGATGTGGGAATCCCGGGGCGATGGAGATGTCGGACATTATCCGCGTGAAGATGTCGCGACGATCGGTGCAACCAATGGTTTGATTCCACGGTGGCACCAAGCGTGCCCCAAGGCACTCGCCGATGTAAAGCGATCTCCGTCGATTTTCATTTGAAGGGGAAAGTGCGCCGTAGGATTTACCCATTCCCCTGCCCCGCAGGGACTTCTGGACCCCAGAATCGAGAAGAATGCCCAGTCACCAAATTCTTCAGTCATCAAGTGAACGGCTCCGTTACAACCAAAAGTGCAGGAGTGTATGTTACATCATTGTATATAGACTCGAATTCGTGCTTATACCGTAACACCCTCTTAGCATATAATGTGAATACTTTTTGCATTATCATCTCCATCTTATTTGTATTGTTGAGGTATGTACATTTCAAAACGGAAAAAAAATAGTGAGACTTTTTTAACTATTCATGCTAAACGTTGGAACAGTGTTTTCCAATGTCGTTCAATAAACCTGAATCGATTACGAGCCACCATACCAGTACCTATCATGGGTATCGCTATAATAATTACAGCATTTGTAAGAATAAAGATCCTTTGGATATAATAGGTCTGCTTTAGGAGATAGGTAGCAATAGTATTTTAAGTAGTAGTGGTGGACCTTGTTGCATGGTGAAAATTGTTGAGATAATATCGAGACTTAAGCACTTCAAGGATATTCGTGTAGTACAGTAAAGTACCGACAGGCTGACGTAAGCAAAGCGCTACGCGCTCTAGGATGACGTCAGCACGTAGCTATAGACCTCGCGAATAGTTACGTACCGTTTCAGTACAGGAATAGTACAGTACAGTAGGCGAACATGTACTTTATTCTAGCTATATATTCTGTATGCTTGTCATTTTATAATATATCTGATTTCAGAGACATTGATCCTGAAACATATCACTACATGGGCTTTCACTAGTCCAGACGAAGCCTCCTTAACTGGCTTTAACTCATACAAGACTTCCGCTACGACAGGAAGCTACAATCCTAAGTAGTACGATCCTATTCAATCACTTCAAATTCTAACATGGTATCAGAGCGTCTTAGGATACTACAAGTTTCCAACTACATACTCTGCAACTATGTCTGGCTCTCCACGATCCAACAACGGGTCTTCTGTTACAAGCCCATCACGCCCAACAGCGTCTCCAGCTGCTGACAATTCTCATATGCAGCAACATCAACAACAACAATATCAGCAACAACCGATGTACGGCATGCCACTGAGCAGTCAGCCCGTACACACAACTGCAGCAGCGGCATCATCGACAGCAGCCGCAGCAACAGCAGCATCAGCAGCCACAACAGCTGCAGCTGCAGTCACTGGTTCTTCTAGTCAACCAGGACAACAGTCCAGTTTCGTACCAACTGGACCTTATCAATATCAAGGTGTTTACCAGCCAACAAATCTTCAACAGCGTGTCAATGCTGCCGTCTTGTCACTTAACCAAATGTTTCCAACTCCTATGAGTCTTGATGGCTCCAGTTAACAGCATGGACAGATGCCACAGGGAAGCGACGGGTCGAATAACTCCTTTTCTTTCGTTCCTGCTGGACAAGGACAACAAGCACCACAAGGGTCACAGGTGCCATCACTTTATCAGCTACAATCAGCTGACGGTACCGGAAATTATCTTCCCGCTTCTGCAAACCCAACAAATTTTAAAACGACAGTGCCTTTTAACGATCAAGACTTCTATACCTGGAGCTTTGAATTTGAGCTTCTTGTCCAGACCGCGGGGTTCTGGCAGCTGTTCGACGGCACAGCACCCTTTCCATCACACGGGTCACCACTTCAACAAGCCACTTTTCGATCAGCGTCACTGACTGCATACACAGTTCTCGTTCGCAATCTGACACCGACTGAACAGCTTGGTATTCGTCCTTTTCGTACCGAAAGAAGTAGAAAGACAAAGCAGAAAGGCACAAATATTATCAGAAGACTATCGGATATCGTGCGGAACCAGAAACATGGCATCAGCGACTCGTGCACCCCTCACACGCCACGCTCAAGAACTCCCTCAGGGCCGGAGTTTTCGATGACGACGCACTACTTCTTCCTCGAGGAGGATCTCTCACAGCAGAATCAGTTGATCCACCATGCACCGTGTGCCCAACTGCATCACTCGCCCACAAGATATTTCCCGACTTACCTCCTGGCTACGAGCGCTGCAAGCCGCTCGATAAAGTCTGCAGCGACTTCATGGTTCTCAGTCAAAAAGGGCTCGACGGTGAGTACTACATGCTTACCTTCATCAACACATGCACCCGCTACGTATGGGCCATCAACATCGACTGCCGCTCCCTAGCCTTCGAGTGCTTCGTGGCATGGATGAAACGGGCTGAACGTCAATCTGGACTGAAGCTGAAAACCTACCAGACAGACGGGGGTTTGGAGTTCTTCTCAACTGATTTCAAAGAACTCTTCAAGCAGAAGGGGATTGAGCACATGGTGTCCCTGCCATACGCTCACGAGCAGCAAGGAGTAGCAGAACGGACAAACAGGAGCCTTGCCACCAGGATGAGGGCCCTGATGAAGCAGTCCCAACCAAGTACTGGCCATTTGCGATGAACCACGCTGTCCGGCTGCACAACTTGCTGTCGTCCCGAAGCCTCGAGAACAACAACTCTCCCTACAGGGCTTGGACAAGCAGAAAGGTAGATATGCGTCTGCTTCGGGTGTTCGGCTGCATGGTACAGTACAGGCCACAGACAGCAAGGACTGGAAAATTTGCTGATCGGGCACGCTGGGGCATTCACCTCGGGATCGAAGAGGAATACAAGGCGTGGATTGTGCTGGACTACGTGACACACGAAGTCACAAAATCACGTGACTGCATCTTCTACGAGAAGCTGACTCTGCCACTGTTCAAGGAGCACCGCGAAGCTGACAAAGCACCGGAAAGGATTTTCGAGGGACATTGCAGCTTCGCCACATCACACGATGAAGCAGACCTGGCGGAGGACGCTGACGCAGCAGACAACACACCAACGGATCCATATCCCAATATCCCCCTTACATGCCCACTCTAGACTCCAACATTCATACCTGTTCATCAATTCGATCCTGCCGATACACTTCGCAAAGCCCACAATTACAACAATGAAGCGCGATGATCTCCGGATGCCAAGTTACCACCACCGAACACCTCGCAAGACACCCTCCGCCTCGGCAACGACAGTGACGACGACGTCGTCAAAGTAACCAGC